ATTTTTGATTGAAAAGAAAATCTGTAAAGAGTGCCATGGTATTAATCGTAAAATTGTTTTTATGTAGTATTATTATTTTTTTATTCCAGTTTTAATTTTGAAATTCCTATATGTATCAAATATATCGAGCCCTAACCGCCAAAATAACGTAAGCGACATTTTTTTTCGAAATTTTCTTTTTGATGCAGAAATGCATCTAGATGCTCTAGGAATATTTCTGCATCAAAAAGAAAATTTAAAAAAAATGTCGCTTACGTTATTTTGGCGGTTAGGGCTCGATATCATAAGCATATGTTTATATTTATATCTGTGTCCAATTATATGCACATACTTTTGGGTCAACATAAGTAAGAAATAAAATCTGTGGAGGGCTTAATAAACTCAAATATCAATAGAAAATGATTGTTACTTTAAGAACCATTTTTTTTTTTTTAATTAAATAGCACATACATATCGCACACCTATGTAACTAAAAAATCAGATCCGGATTCAGAAATATAACTGCTTGTTGATCGTACAGATTCAACGCAATTTATACAAAAACACGTACAACGGACGTTTTGGTTTAGATTTGGTAATTTGAGGACAAATAAAAGCACATATGGGTCATTCATATTTCGTCATGATATTCGAAAATCTCGAAAAAAAATCCCGAAATTTTGAACTCACGGAGAAGTATCTTTTTTTTAATTGTTTGCCGTTAATAAACTATTTGTCGGAGAAAATCAGTTAAGGTATCAAAATGTGCGTAATTACTTCGGCTTTCCATGAGAGTGTGAAATGTCAAAATTGGTGTCTTCTTTTTTTTCGATAAAGAATGTAAAAAAATATATTTCACCCCAAAAAAACTATTGCGGTGTAAATATTGTATGGAATAACCCATATACAATAGTCCCAAAAATTAATAACGTTTTCAGAAATTTCAAAGGCAGTTCGAAAACATCTCTGCGTACGTAAAATGGCGTTGTATACAATATCTTTGTACCTTAAGTGGTGTGTTGTATTTTTTATAAAATATAATACTTACAATTAAATATACATATATATATGATCGAAAAAATGGTTAAATTTATTGGAAAATAGCAACAAAAATAAAGATCAAACGGGATTCGAAAAATTACTTGCTTTTTAACTAATAACTGGTTCACGAGGTATCATTCATTTTACGATTTAATATAAACGTATAGACATTTAGTAAAACTTAAACTGCATGAACATATATATAATTGACTAAATCGACTGCTGAGTGGAAGATCGACCTATCTCGGCAGCCAGTTCGAAAACGCCTTATCTCAAAAAATGTTTCAAGGACGCGCTATTTCAGAATTTGGTTGAACAACGCCCTATTTCAGAATTCGTTTCAACAACGCCATATCTCAGCTGCCTATTCAAAAACGCCGTGTATCAGCACATATTCAATACATTTTGAAGTTAGATTGGGCGTTCTTGAACCGAATTCTGCGAAAGGGCGTTCTTCAACCAAATTCTGAGATAAGGTGTTTTTCAATAAAATTCTGAAATAGGGCCTTATTGAAAAGTTTTTTTTGAGATAGTTCGTTTTCGAACTGGCTGCCGAGATAGGTCGATCTTCCACTCAGCAGTCGAAATACAGTTGAAATAAAATGTAACAGCATATGTTTGGACCACAGATTTCTTTTATGTATCTGGAACCCTAACTAGTTAATACTGAAAGAAAATGTACTTTTAAAACTACAGATACTATATGGTTTACAGTTTTTATTTAATTTGAACGATTAAATCTATGCAGCCTAAATTTGCTGACTTTAGTCTGTGTTCAGATAGCTTTCTATATTATGCGAATCTGAGTTTACAAATATTTCTGAAAGCCAAAAGTTCGTTATTTTTGTTAGTTACAAACGCTGTATATGAAAAAATGTCGAAAAAATCACAATTAAATTTAAATATTTACGTTCACTAAACAAAGTAAATAAATAGGTCAAATAAATAAATTAGCAACTAGAATAAAGTTTAGAGAAAAATAAATCTTTTTCCCTACTTTGATCGGAGAGGTGTTTTTGATCGATTACACTAGTTTACAAGAAAACTGTACCTCATTTAATAGGCTAAACTATTTTGGAATTGCTTAATACGAGTTTGATACGCAATTAATTTTCGAAAGGAACGTCTACTAAGTTTTATGTAGCTACTACCACACCTCTACATCAGACTTCTTTTAACCGATTCAGTAAAAGCTCTTTTTTTTTGTAGATAATAGCTTTTTGCTGTTTAGAGAAAAGTTGTCTTTAGCAAATGATATCAATCTTACCATGTTTATTTAATTAATATTTCCGGGTTCCAGTTGTCCGTCTTTTCGATAGTGAGCAGTGTGGTCTACAGAAAGAAACTACAATTTTTCGGTGCAATTGACATTCGAAAAAAATTTTAAGTAGTGTTCATAGTTTTGAACAATGTTTTGCCATAGAAAAAAAATTAGTAATTTACATCTAATTTTTTTAATACACCTACGGCACTGACTGATGCTTTGTATTTTGACGTTCTTGAATGCTCCCATTATTTTGATGTTTTTTTTAAAGAAGATCCTAATCTGACTGAGGAGATACATTTTAGAAAAAAAGGAGAATTATTTCGGTGAACTCTAGGTGTGGATTAAAATAAGTTGGCGGCACTGGTTCTACTTTTAAATCTTTTCATTGTAAAAGTCAGTCATGAACGAAATTTATTCTTCATTTAATTTTCGCTATATCCTCAGGGGATTGTCAGAATCGATGGTTCTTAATAAAATTCTATTTTTAAGTCTTTTGTAGAACTTTCAAACTTCTAGCTGCCATTTCTTCAAAGGAAAAAAGAACTGGTCTTCTGGGAGTTACTGGTTTAAATTTTATTTTAGGTCCAAGAAGAAAACGAGTTAGATTTATTTGAGTTTAATTTTTGGAGAAAAAAGGTACAAATTTGAACCCACTTTAAAAAAAGTGATGAGACTGAGCAAAATTCTAGTAGGTAGTTGGAAATACCAGTATTTTTGGAGTACTTCTATATGTACAATTACTTCGAAATACTTATTAAATTACTTATTATATGATAAGTTGAAGTACTATCTGTTTACATTTAAGTATAGAGGTTCTTGTTTTTATATAAGATATTTTCCAGGGGGTCAGATTTTAAAGTTGATAACTCCATTGTTGGTTGTCCAGGTTTTAAAACATACATATTTTAATAAAAAATGCAAAAACCTGTTTTCTTGAAAATGAAGTTTGTTAACTATTTGTAAACTAGTGTAATCTACTAGTGCATTCCACGTTTACCTTCTTGTCTATTTAGGTTTTGATTAAGCTTTTATATTTAGCAGATTATAGATATACATTCATACATAAATACATACCAGGGTACGAACTTTTTTTACTCTTGGTTCTACACATTGTGCAAGTTTAGCAATTTTTGCAAAAAGTAACAGAAACAACAAAAACAACAACATATGTTTATTTTTTTAGACGTTTTTAATAAAAGTTTGTCAGCGCTTATAAATGTACATAACGGGTGATTTTTTTGAGGTTAGGATTTTCATGCATTAGTATTTGACAGATCACGTGGGATTTCAGACATGGTGTCAAAGAGAAAGATGCTCAGTATGCTTTGACATTTCATCATGAATAGACTT